TCTAAGTAGGGCAATTATTTTAAGTTCCTTCTATAAAAACTAAAGGATTTTTTCCCCCTTTTGAAAGGAAAAAAATAAGACAGTGTCAGGTTCAACCAATTAGGGCATGTCTGAGAAATCCTTGGAGTGTGGAAAATGTGGTATAACTTTAATTTAAAAGCAACTTGCAATTAACATCACCTTTCAAAATTATTCTCAAATTAGTAGACTAAATTACATTCAAGCATAAAATACATAAAATGGACCAATCTGTTATTATTTATGATAATTCTTTCAGAAAGGCTGGGCTAACAGATGTAAGGAATTAAAATCAAGTTCAAGATGTGTTTCATTTGCTCATTCCACTTAAATGACAGATGGTTTAAATATTAACCCTATTAATAAAACATTTGCATATTCATTATTAATCTGATTGCCTTACCTCATAACCCCACAAATCCATTTTTATTAATTTTACTATAGGGTTGCCATTTCATTCAAGGTCTTCTAAACTCTTGCTCTGCAAAGTATGGTCCTTGAACCAACAGCCCATATCACCTGGAAGTTTGTTAGAACTACAGAATTTCACTGCTCACATCAGACCTACTAAGTCAGGATTTACAAAATGATGGATATGCACATTGACATCTGAATAGCACAGTCCCAAACTGTTGATTTTTTAAATATTTATTTATTTAACTGCACTGGGTCTTAGTTGTGGCATGCAGAATCTTCAGTCTTTGGCATGTGAACTCCTAGTTGCAGCATGTGAGAGCTAGTTCCCTGACCATGGATTGAACCTGGGTTCCCTGCATTGGGAGTGTGGAGACTTAGCCACTGGTCCACCAAGTCAGTTTCTAAATTGTTAATTTTTTTCACAGTATTACAAAAAGTTTATTTGCACTCTTGCATTGTTGGTGGGAATGTAAATTGATACAGCCACTATGGAAGACGGTACGGAGATTCCTTAAAAAACCAGGAATAAAACCACCATATGACCCAGCAATCCCATTCCTAGGCATATACCCTGAAGAAACCAGGATTGAAAAAGACACGTGTATCCCACTGTTCACTGGAGCACTACTTATAATAACTAGAACATGGAAGCAACCTAGATGCCCATCGACAGATGAATGGATAAAGAAGTTGCAGTACATATACACAATGGAACATTACTCAGCCAGAAAAAGAAATTCATTTGAGGTGAATGAACCTAGAACCTATCATACAGAGTGAAGTGAATCAGAAAGAGAAAGATAAACAACATATTCTAATGCACATATATGGAATCTAGAAAAATGGTACTGAAGAATTTATTTACAGGGCAGCAATGGAGAAACAGACGTAGAGAACAGACTTATGGACATGGGGAGAGGGGAGAACAGGGTGAGATATATGGAAAGAATAACATGGAAACTTACATTACCATATGTAAAGTAGATAGCCAAAGGGAATTTGCCGTATGGCTCAGGAAACTCAAATAGGGGCTCTGAATCAACCTAGACGGGTGGGATGGGGAGGGAGATGGGAGGGGGTTCAAAAGGGAGGGGATATATGTATATCTATGGCTGATTCATGTTGAGGTTTGACAGAAAACAACACAATTCTGTAAAATAATTATCCTTCAATTAAAAAAAGTTTATCTGCTTCCAAACTGTAGTTAACTTATCTACAGACAGTAACTTTTCATAAGAATAATTCAATTCAGACAAAGAAATCAATATACATATACATTCCATAGTCTATATATAAGATGTCTCAGACTTGACCTTACCTCTCAACCAGGACTCCAAGTCTTAGAAGTACTACACTTGTTGTACTATTCATTTTTTTCTCTTAATCAACATTTTTGCCTTAGCATTGTGACCATTGTGATGAAAGTCTTCTTTGTCATTAAACAACTATATAGAACAGGAGCAGGAAATCAGATTCTCCCCACAATTTTAGGAAAAAATGAAAAAACTCAAAATAGATTCAACCAAGGTTGAACTTAAAAAGTCCCCTAGAGAAAAAAAGACCAGAATGACTCTATTCTTCAAAATAATATATTTTTATGCTTTACCTAACACACATTTTTTTTTCTTACTGCAGAGGTACCACATTTTTAAAATAAGAAATTCACATGGGACTTAGTGCAGTTCTTTAGATGGCTCATCTTTTATCATTACTATTGCACAATAGTCACAGAACACATAAAATAGAATAAATCTTGTTTTCTCTTTCGTTTTTCCCTCCCAAAATGACAGACCTAGGCTGAAACTGATCACAGCAGGTAGGATGGTTCGGCACAGATTCAAAGAAAAGTACAAATGTTCAGTTTTCAAAAGCACTGCAAAAGCAAACCTCATCTCTTGTCACTGTAGCTGTGGCTTAATGCCAAACATTTAAAAACTGTTGAAAAGTGCTGCTCCTTATAAGCAATTATGAAGAGCCTTGCAAAGAAGAGGAAAGAAATGTAATAACTCCTTAGAATGGTCTAATGTCCCTGACCTCCAGGTTGCAAGATAGGAGTCTAATAGTTACCCAGTTGCATCTGAGGCTGTGCACCCAATAAAGATGCTTGAGGAGAAAGAATTATAAGGGTGTGAAGAGATGGTATCAAGGAACCTGTTGGGCAATTTCAACAATTAATTATGTCCTCAAACGTTTCCATTCTTTCAAGATCCTATGATAGATCAGTGATTCTTCAATTTAATGCTATTCATTCAATTTTGCATTTGCAAGCTATACTACAACTTCCCCTTCATGGATCACAGCTTTGTTATGGAGAAGTGGCTTCCATAACTCAATGACGCTATGAGCCATACCCTGCAGGACCACCCAAGACGAACAGATCACAATGAGTCCTGACAAAACATGGTCCACTGGAGAAGGAAAAGGCAACCCATTCCAGTATTCTTGCCTGGAGAACCCCACAGACAGTATTAAAGGCAAAAAGATATGCTGGAAGAAAAGACCCTGATGCTGGGAGAGACTGAAGGCAAAAAGAAAAGGGTGGTGCGGGTGGGGCAGAGGATGAGATGGTTAGATAGCATTACCGACTCAGTGGACATGAACCTGAGCAAGCTCCAGGAGAAATGGAGGACAAAGGAGACTAGAGTGCCATAGTCCATGGGGTTGTGAAGTCAGACACGACTTAGCGACTGAACAATAACTATTACAATTTCTCAGGATGTGCTCTACAGAATACAACTAAGTATTTAATGCCTTTTTTAATGGTCTTAGCTCTAATAGTTTAGAAATTGGTGAACAATTCATTATGCCCCATCTCTACTCACATTTACAGCCAAATCTCTCAGGATTGTCCACACACATTGGTCACACTTTCTCACTTACTAGTTACTCTTCAGCCCACCCCTATCTGGCTTCCACCCACTTCATTCTACTTTAACTTCTCTTGGTAAAAACCATTAAGGATCTTCATGTTGCTAAATCCAAGGACACACCTTAGTCATCATTATTCTTCACTCTGCAGCATCATTCAACAAAGTTAATTGTTCTCTCCCTCTTGTAATAATCTTTTGTAGCTTTGATGGATTTGCCTTCTCCTGGTATCTCCCAACTCTCTGACCCTTGGCAATCTGCTTTAGGGACTCGGTCCCCTCTACCTGTCCTGACCTACCTTGAGGCTTGGTCCTGAAATCTTGTATCATCTCTTAACTATGAATGTCACCTTCATGTTGATGACACATTTACATCTCCAGCCCAGATGTTTTTCCATTCAACATCTTCACTTGGATGCTGCATAAATGCATTTAAACCCAATACATCTGAAATTGAAGTCTTGGATCTTTCCTTCACTGTTCTTCCTCCAATGTTTCCCAATCCAGTTGCTCCTGCCAGAAACCCAGGAGCTCTTTATTCTCACCACTCATATCCAGTCAATCTCCAAGTCCAGTCATTTTGGCCTCCAAAACATAGCTGTAACATGCCTGGTCTCCCCATCTCTACTGCCATTCTCCCTCCCTATCCTCCCACCCTTACCCTCATTATCAGCTATTGCCCACCACACTGCAAAAGCATTTTAAGTGATCTTCCTGACTCTACCTGCTGTTGTTATTTAGTTGCTAAATCATGTCTGCCACTTTCGAGACCCCCATGGACTGTAGCCCACCAGGCTCCTCCGTCCATGGGGATTCTCCAGGCAAGAATTCTGGAGAGGGTTGCTGTGTCCTCCTCCAGGTGATCTTCCCAACCAAGGGATCAAACCCAGGTCTCCTGTATTGCAGGCAGATTCTTTACCATCTGAGCCACCAGGGAAGCCCAAGATTACTGGAATGGGTAACCTAGCCCTTCTCCAGGGAATCTTCTGAACTCTACTCGTATTCCTCTCCAATTCTATCTCCACTCTTCAACCAGAGTGATCTTTCAAAGATGAAAATGCCCCAACTTAAAACCCTTTAGTGGCTTCCTATTGGTTTTAGGACACTGTTCATAAGGTACCTGCCTACCTCTCTAGACAACCTCATCCCATGGTATCTGACCCCTTGTTGTCTAAGCACCAGACTCACTCTTTTTGTCCGTACATTACACTCTCTGAGGTTGTACAGGAGCAGGGCCTTTGCACATGTTGTATCCTTTACCTGAAATTTGCATTCTCTCACTTTTTTCCTACCCACTGCTGCCCAAATCATACCAACATACATACACAGGCACAATCCAAAACCCCAGGGTCCACATCCAGCAGTGAAACCAGACCAAAAGGAAGTGAATGATCAGCAACCCGTAGCATTAAAACATATCACCAGGACAAAATAAACACTTATATAACTTTATCAGTAAACACTTCTATAACTTTATACGAGGCACTGAGTGATTTATATATATTAACTTAGAGCTCACAACCATACCACCCAGTGGGTACCGTTATTATCTCTAATTTAAGATAAGGTAACAAGGTAGGGGTTTCCTAGGTGGCTCAGTGGTTAAGAATCCCAGTCCCTCACGAAGCAGGCTGCAGTCGTCCCTCCTTCCCGGCGCCGGGTGAGAGCCTCCCAACCCTTTCCGCCCTCAGGCCTCACCTTCCATGTCGGGGAAGAAGCCATCCCAGCTTTCTGGCCAGGCCCAGGCGGCTCCCCAGTGCCGGAGGGCATGAAGCGGCCATACCGCTGCAAAGGCCACTGTGCCGCGTCTCCTGCTCGTAACCCGAGACCCGCGTGCTCTTTTCCCGCCTCCGCCATGCTTCTCTTCCTGGCTTGCGCAGCCGCAGCACGCCTCTCAATCGGTGCAGCTAACCAATCAGAAAGCGAAATGACCCAAGGCCCACCCTCCCCCAGAGTGGAAGCCAATGGACAAGCCCCAGAGACTCGCGTGAGGGTGGGGCGAGTAGGGAGTTGGCGGTTGTCCTCTGGTTAAGGGCGTAGTTCTGGACCTTGGGCATCTCATTTTGGTGGGCAAAGTAGTGTTGGTAACTTCCACCTTCAAGTGGGACTGTGACGCTTATAAGTGGTAGTTGGCCTTTCAGTAGTTCCAGCCCTCAACTTCCGTCAGGAAGCCCAGAACATCTGCCGCTCTGAGACATTTCTGGTAACTGGCCTTGAGATTTCTACACATTGGGACTAGGCTAGGTCTCTGCGCTATGTGGACAAGTGTGGTTTCCTTTTTCACAGCAGCCTTTCGGATGACAACAGCGCTGCCCACCTCAACCCCACCAAAACACAGCCCCAGTTCTACCCACCATTCAGGAAACCCATCTTCCTGCAGCCCCTAGACACATCCCCTCCAGACGGTCCAGTTCTCTTTAAAAGAGAGGAGCAAATGGGTGGGATGTTGCCAGCGATGAAAGGGGAGGCTCAAGCAGCAGGTGCAACTCAGTAACAGGTCTGAATGATTTATAATCAACAAAGCACTTCTACATCTGTTATTTGTTCTCTCAACAACCTTGTGGTAAATTAAAGCAAAACAGAGATTATTACCCTCATTGAATAGATGGAGGTGCAAAATAGTGTCCTGAGAGTAGAAGCAATTTGTGAAGCCGGTGTAGGACTGTGGACTCTGCAATCTCTCCTTGAGTCTACTCCACTTGCAAAGAATTTGGGTATCTGTGCTGGGTCAAATTGGAAGCATTGTGTATGGAAGATGGAAGCTGTGTTAATCCAACACATAAAGTTAAAATGCAAACAATTTTTAAAACCATGCATTTCAAAGGGTATTAAATGCATAGGCCATGGTTGGAGAAGGGGTCATTTATTCACTCAACAAAACACCTTTAAATGTCTACAGTATATAGCTATGTTAGTAACTACAGGGATTATGGAAATATGTTAGGCATGAATATAGCCTTCTAGGACCTTAGGATCTAATAAAGAAGACAAAGAGAGGTACCCATGATATCTGACATTAATGCCAAGTGAAAGGTGCTTTAAGGATTCAGGTAATGTAAAACTCTACAATCTGGAATGGCAGTGGCATTTTAGTCCCAACTTGAAAGGTCAGTAAAAGCATCCCAAGGGAAGATGGATGAAACTGGTATTCCAGGTGGAGGGCAAGTTGAAGAGTAAAGTTGCAGAGATGAGGATAGTGACATAACCAGCCAGAATGCAAGGGGTTTTAAGGAAGATGAGGCCACAAAGATGAGTTAGGCAGAAGAGCACTGAACAGTAGCTAAGGAGAGTGAATTTTACTTGGTATATGGTGAAGAGTATGGAAAATTGACATAGAGAAGTGACACTATCACAGTGGTGGTCCAGGCAGGCTCATCTTTGAGGGGCATGTAGAATAACTTGTATTCAAGATAAGGGGTATTTGTTAGTTATCTTTCCATTAGTCCAGTAGAGCTTGAAGGGGTCAGATTTGAGAAATGGCTTCCAAAGTTCCTTAAATGACACAGCAGTACTGCATTTAATATAATAGTAAATGGTTACAAACTTGGTTTGAATCCCAATTCCACCACTTGCCAGCTATGTGACCTTGGGATGTCACTTAACCTCTCTGTGAAACAGAGTTAGCCAATACCAATCTTCCAGGGTCTTAGGGAGTATAAAGTAAGATCATCTGTGGGAAAATTCTTGGTAAATTACAAAGCAGTACATGTGTGGGTACTTTCAGTTTGTGGGGTTAAAGTGACTTTCCATGCACCCCCATAGGCAGGAGGATGGGGATGGGAGCCTGATATTCAGTCTCAGAGGCGCTCACCTTCCAGGTCCCTGGCTGTGGATGCTGTCAGACACCCTTCACAGGAGCAGATGGTGCTCACAGTTGGGACCCTGTCAGTGCCCAAGGACACCCAGGGCCCTGCTGGGCTCCCACCTGCAAGCTCCCTTCCTAGACAATGCACCTGTGCTCGAGTTTCTGGAGCCACCAGCGTCTGCCAAGAATGGATCATGTCTGCAGAGAGAGATACAAAGCCACAGCTCGATACAAAGCCACAGCTCAATGCACAGAGGCTCTTAAAAACCTCTGATATTAACAAATGTGACTTGAGCATTCAAGAGATCCCAGACACTGTAGTAGGTGCTGGGAATACAGAAGATAAAACAGGTGTTCTATCCACCTGAAGCTTACGACCGAGTGGCTGACGGGGGGTGGGGGGGTGGGGTAGACAGAACACAAATTAATCCATGTTTTTAATGGCCATCGTGTTTTCTTTTTTAAAGAGAAGCCTGTAATATTTATTAAGGTATAAAAATTTTATACAATAAAAAACACAGATCTTATATATTCAATTAGGCAAGTTTTAACACCTGTATACATTCATGTAAGCACCATCCAAAAAAGATAGGGAACATTTCCAAACTTGGAACAACAAGTTCCCTTGGGAGTGCCTCCCTCTGGTCAGTTTGCAACTCCCAGGGGCAACCATTGCTCTGAATTTTTCCACTGATCTGACTTTAATCACTGTAGATAAGCTTTTTTGTTTCTGGACTTTATACATACATACATATATATATGTATGTATGTATGTGCTCAGTCACTCTATTGTGTCCAACTCTTTGCAACCCCATGGACTACAGTCCACCAGATTCCTCTGTCCCTGGGATTTTCCAGGGAAGAATACTGGAGTGGGTTGCCATTTCCTCCTCCAAGGGATCTTCCCAACCCAGGAACTGAACCTGCATCTCCTGGACCTCCTGTATTGACAGCCAGATTCTTTACCACTGAGCTACCTGGGAAGCCACAAATACATATATATTTATATAGAGAGCTATATATAAAACCACAGGATATATTCTTTTATATCTTCTTCTTTTGTTCAGTATAATTTTGTCTTTTAGCTTCATCCATGTTGTATAAACCAGTAGTTCATTTCTTTTTTGTGATGAATAGCATTCTGGTGCATGATTATATCACGATTTGTTCCTCACTTGTTGATAGGCATTTGAATTGTTTTCTGTTTGCTTGGCTTTTTAAGCTGTTGTAAACAGTTTTTGTATTAGTCTTTTTGTAGAGATGTGCTGTCATTTATCTTCATTAAATACCAAGGGAGTGGAATTGCTGGTTAGATATGTTTAATCCCATAAAAAACTGCCGAAGAGTTCTCCACAGTGGTTGTACCATTTTGTACTCCTACCAACAAAATATGAGAATTCCAGTTATCGATGCTGACATTTGCATGTCAAGTCCTTTCAGTTTTAGCAACTCTAGCGGATCTATAGTAACATCTTACTGTGGTTTTAATTTGCTTTCCCAGATACCAAATGATGTTGAGCCCCATTTCAAACAGCTTACTGGCCATTTGTATATTTTATTTCATGAAGTATGTGTTCAAATCTTTATCATTACTGATTTGTAGGGGGTTCTTTATATATTCTGGATACAAGTTTGTTGTTAGATATATGTATTGAAAATACTCTTTCCATTCTATTACTTGCCTTTTTGTTTTCTTAACAATGTTTTCCAAAGAGCAGAAGTATTTAATTCTGAGTGAAGTCAGTTTTATTAATTTTTCACGGTTTTTTTTTTTTTTAGTGCTTTTTGTGTCCTGCCTAAGAAATCTGTGACTACTCTGAGGTTGTACATATATTCTCCTATGTTTTCATCTGAAAACTTTATAGTTCTGTCTTTTACATCTAGACATATGATCCTCCTTACATTAAATTGTTTGCATGAAGTGAAGTAAGAATTAAGCTTCTTCTTTTTTTTGCATTGATATACAATTACTATTATATAGGAACTGCCCTCAACCAATGTCTGATGGAAACTGGGATATAAATACCCCAATTTCCTCACTCCTCGGGTAGGACAACTCTGAGATTTGTATAATATCCCATTCCCCAGGCTTCACCCGTGGGATCAGGCTCCAGTTACCCCTGATATAACTTCTTGGTAATGGTTCTTTTTTTGGCTTCCCTGCCTCCCTTTCCTACCAGTGTTTCCTGTAATCTCCTCTCAAATAAATTGCTTGCACTTAAATTTTTGTCCCAGCATCTGTTTCTCGGGGAAGCCAAACTAAAAGAGTGACAAACAAGGCAGACAGTTCCCTGCCTTCATATATTTAGCTATAATTTAGGCACACGCAAGAAGATGGTACAACAGGCATTAAGAGGACAGAGAAGTCACATCCAAAGCAGACCCTTCAATACCTTGCTGACCAACAGCAGTAGAACAACAGTATTTGTGGTCAGGACTCATGAATGACAGGTGACTATGAGCTACTCTGACCCCCTCTTAGAAGACTGTTACCAGCTTTTTTAAACATTTTTTTTAAAATCCCAAATCCTTTTACTGTGTAACTCTATTTTGTAGGTGGCACAATGACAGAGATGCTTGTCTCATGAGTAGTCAGCATCATACTGGAGGCAAGCTGCAGGGCTAGTTTCAGAATCCTAGCATGTCTTTTTCAAAGCAGGCTAGGGACCCCATGTATCCCTTCTTGCTAGGAGGATGAGACAGCAAAGAAAATGATGGCTTCAGTCTCCTAGATGACAAAGAAATACACATCTTTACTCTGCCTGCTGTGTGTCTCAGCCACAGCTCCAGGAACCACACAGGGATTGGAAACTGCAGGACACTGCTGGTGTCTGTGGGGTTTCCCAGAAGAGCCCTGTTTGCATAAGTCAAGCCAGGTGAGGTGTCTCCGTGATGTCAGACCTGGGGATGATGTGTATGAAGGGGATGTTTCCATGGAACTCTACACTCACTGGTAAAAAGCAATTATTTTCAGGTTTCTGCTCTGTTTCTTTCACAGGCAAAAACTAACTGCTCCATTTCAGGTAATTGAAGGGATTTCAATGTGACTGGGCACAGACAATCCCAACCT